GTCACATTTGGGCCGTGGGCTGCAGTTTGGAGACCATTGGACTAAAAGGAAGAAATTCCTTGAAATTTAAAGTACAGAAACAATTGAGTACTGTCCGTGATACTTTTTTTATTTGCACTAACATACAATTTTGAGGGCAAGCTTTCGGGGTATGTCCCCTTCTTCAAAGTCCAAGCAGTACTATTACAAATCACAAAGTTTAAGCAGAATGTTAGAAGGGATGAAAAAAAAAAAAGGCTACAGGTAAGATACAGCAAAAGCGAGGGGGGGGGGGATATTACACTCACACAGAGGGAGTCAAGCTTCAGCTAATAGTCATAAAACTGTCAGATAATGATTGAGGAATCCCATGTCCAAGTTGAGGCCGTTATCTCTTGTGTCAAATGGAATTATCATTCTTAGTTCAAAAGTTTTTCTTTCCTGAATGGATTTGAATTTTCCTTTCAGAACTAAAACATTGAGGTCTCCCATTGTGTGACATGGTTGTGCGAAACGGTGTCCTACAGGTGTTTTTAATTTATCAATGATGCTTCAGTGTCGTCAACCATTCTGTGGTTTCTTATCTTTTGGAAACCCTAGCAGTTATGTTTTCCACACATTTCTGGTCTCTGCTCTTCTCATCATGGACAATCCACTGGAGAAGTATCACACCATTTTCTGGTTTTGTGACTACCTTAGCTATTGGATGCTGTCAGTGAATATTAGCCAGAATGTGTTATTCAACTTGACATCAACCATGTAGAACCAAAACTATCATGGAAATGCTTTCTTTGGTGAAGAACAGGATGTTCTATAATGTTTAAAAAGTGCCCTAGCTTAGCTAAGCCACTTCTTCAGCTCTAATGAGTGTCAGGAGAAAAGCACAGCATTCACATCTACACAGCTAGCACAAACACCTTAATTCAATCATCATGGAATGTGTCAAGGCAGATGTTGATTGTCAAAAAACAGGATGGTGGATTTGAAATTTGTGGATCCACTACTTTCTAATCCCATGCTTTGGGTCCATATATCTGCATGTCTGTAAAGGTTCTCATTAATCCAGGTCATGGTATGTCTAGTAGTATTTAACTGAACTTGTTCTGTAATATTGAAGACATTTTTTAAGCTCTTCCAATCCTCCTCTTAAGCTCTGAGTGTCAGGAAAATGTCCCAGCATTTTTATCCACACAGGTAGCCCTGACACCTTGATCCAATCACCATGGAAAGGTGGATGGTATTGTAGAAGATGTTTTGTAATGTTGAAGACATTTTGTAGTTAATCAAAGCCACTTCTTCAGTTCTAACGAGTGCCAGGAACATACCCCAGCATTTATATCCAAAAAGGTAGCAGTGACTCCTTAATCCAATCACCATGGAATGTGCCAAGACGGATGCTATTGTCCAGGAACAGGAGGTGTGAAATTTGCAGAACAACCATGTTCTAGTTACATATTCCCATCCTTGGTGTTAGGAAGTCTGCAAAGGTCTCGATCCTTTGATTTACTGAATGAAAAGAGATGTTAAAACTGCATTATATGTTGGTGTCAAAGGCCACCACTCTTGCTTAGGGATGGTTGTTCCAGTTTAAATTAGATGACCACTTTTGCACCACTTGTGAACCAAATGTCTTCTCTGTCCAAAATGTGCACTTCACTGTCCTTGAAAGGATGTCCCTTATCCCTAAGGTGTAGGAAAATATCCTCATCTGTAGAATTTGCTCTCCTATGTTGGGCCAGTCATCTATTGAGAGGTCATTTCATCTCCCCAACGCACAGGTCTTTCCATTCCTCATTACATTCTATTTCATATACTGTACCAAGTTACTTCACTTGAGTTTGGGTGTTGGGTCCTTTAGATGTACAAGCTTCAGTCTCAGTGTATTGCTGGGTTAGAATGACAGAGGGTTGGGATGTTTGTCAAAGATCCTTCTGAGTTTTCTGACACTCCAGCTGAATACAGGTTGACTATATTACTCACATGTTTTCTCTTTCTCTCCTATACTTTTGCTTGACCTTGTGAATGTTTTAACAAAAGCCTTGGTAACCACACCTATGAAACAGCTTCAACATTACAGAACAAGTCCAGTTGAATGTGTGGCCTAAACTTATTAAGAAATTAGATTTTTTTACTGGGTATGTTTTATAACAGAAAACATAAAATTAGTTTTTTTTTTTTTCAAAATGTTTGGTCTTTTTTGTTTATACGTAATGCCCTCTAATGTAAGTAGTAGTTTTTTTGTGTGCATAGTTAGAGGCTTGCTAGAAGCCTGGGTATGAGTCAGCCTGGGAGTGAGTCAGCAAGGTTACTTAAAGTTAAGACTGGAGGGCTCTACAGGCCAGTTCTCTGATACTTCCCACTGTTGTATAAACGTGGAAAAGTTTCTAGAAGCAAGTAGGAAGGAGGAGGGTGTCAGGGCGGGGCTGTGGAACGGACAGGTAGGCCTAGTGGCAGGGTAACGCACTGGCTGACGACAACCACCACCAACAGACCGAAGTCCCTCAGGGCGCGGAGTCTAAGTCCCAGGCTGCCCTTCACCAGAGCCCCTGATGGTGGGGATGGACTTGACGCAGCCAGGAACCAGGTCGCGGCCCCCGAGACACCCCGGCTGCGGTAATGGCCGCCGCCAATGGCGTGTAGCTGGTGAGAATGACAATAGCGTAGTCAGGCAAGCCGGGTCGACAACAACAGGACAAAATGGTACAGAACAGTAGACAGAGAATAACAGGTCACGGGCCGGGTTCAGCAACGGAAGGTCAGATCGAAGGAAAACACAGAGAATGGTCTTAGTCACAAGCCGAGTCAAATACCAGAAGAGTCATGAGCATATACACAGAGCTGTAGCAAGACAAAGACACAAGACACAAGTGCAAAGAGCATGTGCGGATCACAGGCTTATATGTACTCAGCCACACCCCTCTGGGGGATGGACCTCAGAGACCTGAAGGCATAAAAGATTCCCACCATGCTCAGCAGAAATCCAAGATGGATGCCAGCACATGGAGTAACATAACCTCTGGGAAAAGGTAGGACCTTGACAGAGGGGCAGATCTGCATACTTAGGGGAGCCTGGTCAATCCCCAGGCGGGAGGCCTGGAGTGGCAGCTAGGTCAGCCCTTAAATATAACAGAGCCTGGCCAGCAGGGGAGTCGGGTTGAAGATGGAGTGAGGAAGTGCTGCTGGTGTGGAGCCTGGGAAGGGGCCTCATAAGAGGGGGTCTACCTACAGGCTGGGAACTGGAAAGAGGGACCGCCACTGTTCCACAGTCTACAAAGGAGGGACAACCTGTCAGCAGGGGAAGAGCCAACTCAGCATAAGGCCTGAAAGCAGCTTCACCTTTACAGCTACAGGAACAGGACAATGTGAGTACTTCAACAACCCCTGGGCCTACAAGGAAGAGGGTGCAATACCCAACTAGTTCTCCCTTGGACTGCATTCTTTGTGTATCTTAGAATCCCTTGCCTTAAGATGCTCTCATGACAGTCAGGTGGATGAGGAGATTTTCATCTGGGGTCTCAAGAGGTTAATTTAAGGGGACCAAGTGTTTCTAGTAAAGACTGTGAAGATTTCTTCAAAAGACAAGAGCCGCTCCTGAAGGAGTAGAGAGTCCAGGATCTATTCAATAGTACTTTTTGCTAAATTTTTGTACCTTAGAAGTTGTCCTCTAAGTTGTTTCAGCTCTATTGGGCATCCCATATACCCATAGACCCCATCCAAATTGTTAACCCCTAATAAATTAACAAAAACAAAGCTCATGGACTGCTTACTGACTGTGGATGCAAGAGTGGAAAATGCATGTTGCTGGCTGTGCAGAGCTTAAGGGGATCCAAAACTCAGAGGCCCTCAAGAGGGCAGCACTACATATACATAAAAATAAAAAAAACCCAGTGGTGATCAAATACCACCAAATGAAAGCTCTCTTTGTGCGAAGGAAATTATGTAAATTTAATTTGGCTACAGTGTTGCATGGCTGCGCAATTGCCAGTTAAAGTAGTGAAGTGCTGAATAGCAAACAATGTCCTGGTCACAAAGAGGGCAAAACCTTATGGAGGTCAATGGCTCCATGGTCCATGGCTGGTGAGTAAAAGGAGGGTGAGAATATGCTGCTGGGAGGTCAAACCTAAAGTGGTCCTTTTGCTTTTCCTTGCAACATAGGTTCACTTTAACATAAACTTCATAGTATAACAATTTTACTTTGCACATAAACACAAAATAAAACAGATCGTTCTACTGATATAATTTTTTTTAATGCAAATCACTTACTTTGATATGGGATTGACACTGGCTTCAACTATTGTTAAACATTTACAGCATTTTATATTGTCAGGAAATTCTTGTATACCTAGAAAAAAAATCAATATTATAGATTAGTCATATAATATCGTAGTAAAACAACAACCATCGTAAAATTTTCTTTAAAAAACACATTTTGCAGAGTTAAAGGATCACTAAACCCAAGAACAAAAATAAAATATATTGCAGTTTACCGGTCCCTAGATGTAGTGACTGCTTTAGATTTATGTTTTCAAATGAATAATGTACATATACTTTTTGCATAAATAGTACATAAAATACCTATTGATCTTGCCAGAATTTAAGGGGACTTGTAAATTCCTGAGCACTAAACTGTACAATGTTATAAGCTTTTCCCAGCTATCGTTTGTGAACTACAGAACCCCATATTTCTATGTAATGCAAATGGGGAGAGGAGGAGGTGTTAGTAGTCAAATCCAGGAAAGCAGTCTAGGGCGTCAAATCTGCTCCTCCATAGATACAGTGCACCGAGTTAGCGTTGTCACTCCTAGGAAGGAAGTGTGTTATTTGCAGGATCACCTGATGAAATAAAAGGAAAAGAAGCCAGAAAAAAAAAAACGAATGCAGCCCCACATTTACAGTTTGGTAAGCTGCAATATATCACAATATACGCTATATTGCCAAAAGTATTGGGACCCCCTTGCAAATCATTGGATTCAGGTGTTCCAATCCCTCCTCCATGGCCACAGGTGTATAAAATCAAGCACCTAGGCATGCAGACTGCTTCTACAAACATTTGTGAAAGAATGGGTCGCTCTCAGGAGCTCAGTCACTCCAAGCGTGGTACCGTGATAGGTTGCCACCTGTGCAATAAGTCCATCCGTGACATTTCCTGGCTACTAAATATTCCACGCTCAACTGTAAGTGGGATTATACCACAGTGGAAGTAACTGGGAACAACATCAGGCCATGTAAAATGAGAGCGAGGGGTCAGTACATGCTGATGCGCACAGTGCGCAGAAGCTGCCAACTGTCTGCAGAGTCAATAGCGGCAGCACAGTGGCTAAATGGTTAGCACTTCCGCCTGGCAGTACTAGGGTCATTGGTTCGAATCCCAGCCACGCTACCACCTGCCTGGAGTTTGCATGTTCTCCCTGTACCTGCGTGGGTTTCCTCCAGGTACTCCGGTTTCCTACCACACTCCAAAGATATGCTGTTAGGTGAATTGGCTCCTGTCCAAATTGACCCTAGTATGTGTATGTATATGAATGTGAGTTAGGGACCTTAGATTGTACGCCCCTTGAGGGTTAAGGACTGATGTGAATGTACAATATATATGTAAAGCGCTGTGTCAATTGACGGCGCTATATAAGTACCTGAAATAAACAAATAATAAATAAATAGCTAAAGACCTCCAAACGTCATGGACTCTGGAGCAGTGGAGACGTGTTCTCTGGAGTGATCAATCATGCTTCTCTGCGTGGCAATCCAATGGACATGTCTGGGTTTGGTGGTTGCCAGGAGAACGGTACTTGCCTGACTGCATTGTGCCAAGTGTAAAGTTTGGTGGAGGGGGGATTATGGTGAGGGGTTGTTTTTCAGGGGTTGGGCTTGGCCCCCTAGTTCCAGTGAAGGGAACTATTAAGGCTTCAGCATACCAAGACATTTTGGACAATTTCATGCTCCCAACTTTGTGGGAAGAGTTTGGGGATGGCTCCTTCCTGTTCCAACATGACTGCGCACCAGTGCACAAAGCAAGGTCCATAAAGACACGGATGAGCGAGTTTGGGGTGGGGGAACTTGACTGGCCTGCACAGAGTCCTGACGTCAACCCAATAGAACACCTTTGGGATGATTTAGAGTGGACACTGTGATCCGGGCCTTCTCGTCCAACATCAGTGCCTGACCTCACAAATGTGCTTCTGGAAGAATGGTCAAACCTTTCCATAGACACCCTCTTAAACCTTGTGGACAGCCTTCCTAGAAAGATTGAAGCTGTTATAGCTGCAAAGGGCGGGGCCAACTCAATATTGAACCCTACAGACTAAGACTGGGATGCCAAAAAAGTTCATGTGTGTGTAAAGGCAGGCATCCCAATACTTTTGCCATTATAGTGTAGTTTGTGGCCCTTTGCTTGCCTTTATCCAGCAGTTTTCCTTCCAGGGATATAAGGCACTAATCCTTCCACTGCCACCAACAATGAGGCATCATTCCTCCCACTGACACCAACATTGGAGCACTATTTCTTCCACTGACACCAACAATGGGGCACTATTGATCTTTTATTGAAAAGAATCAAGCAACATAATTTTATACAAAAGTAAAAAACATAGCCATAGTATGGTCATACAACAGAAAACAAAAAGGAATGTACATCCATGTCCAGAATATATACAATATATACATAGTTTACTACCAAAATTTTCAGACTATTGAAAATTATTTACGAAGAGCAGCAGAGAGGGCCTAAGAGGCACAACCCATCACCTATGTACGCAGCCATTTTTCAAAAATTGAGCATCAAGGAAAAAAAAACTAGGGTGATAAGAGACAGACAGCCACACCCCGGAAAGAGACCACAATGGGGCACTATTCCTTCCACTGACACCAACAATGGACCACTATGTCTTCCACTGACACCAACAATGGGGCACTATTCCTCCCACTGACACCAACAATAGGGCACTGTTTCTCACACTAATACCAATGATGGAGCACTATTCTTCCCACTAATACCAATGATGGGGAACTATTTCTTCCACTAATACCAATGGTGGAGCATTGTCCTCCTGCTAATACCAATGATGGAGTACTATTCCTCCCCTAATATCAATGATATGGCACTATTCCTGTCACTGACACCAACAATGGGGCACTGTTCCTCCCACTGATATCAAAAATGGATCACTGTTTTTCCCACTAATACCAATGATGGGGCACGTTTCCTCCTACTAACTAGAGATTAGACATGGTTTCTACTCCTACTGACTTCACCCCATCCCCCCCAAGTCCAAAGAACAGTAAACTGGCCCTTTGTTGAGAAAGTCTGGAGACCCCCTGTTTAGGTGCACTTTAAAAAGACCACCACTATTAACTTTATAAAAGCACACAACTGAGAGGAACAGATCAGAGGCGTAACAATACAGTGACCACTATGGGGCCACGGATGAGAGGGGGACCCATTAGGAACGTTAATAAGGATAACGAAACTTTATATCAATATGATTAATATTATTAATACTTGTTCATAATAGTGTACTGAACATGCTAACAGACAAGGTGGTAGAGTAGGCCCTCCTGTACTGGGCCCAGGCCCCATCACAGAGGGGACTCTTTAAATACTATTGGGTGCATGCAGAGTAATCCCATGGGCTGCATCTCCCAGCGATTAAATAAAAGTTCCCCGGGCCCCATCAGTTCAGCAGTAAGGGCTGGTGACAGAGAGGAAACTATTTACTCATTTTTGGAAGCAGGTGGAGTAATCCTCCCAACAATTACATTCAAGTTCCAGGCTCTTCTTCTATATTAATCCATTGAGGCAGTCCATAACATTAATTGTTGGGAGTCACGGAATGGAGAAGTAAGTGGCCCATACATTAGTTGTTTTTTTCTTTGTTCAACCAGTGGGTTGGACAAAAAAAACTGACCTGATTTCCCCATCCACATATTCAAGGTGGATGGGGGAATCCACCCTGCTCAGCTATTTTATTCTGACAATGGGAAGACTTCCCCACCACCAGAATACATTGATCAGTGCTGCCAGCTAAAGCCTGTGGCTCTGATTAGGTAGGGAAAATCCAACAGGGTGGATTCAGCAGATCAACGTCTGTACAACCACAGTGCCCATACATAGATCGAAATTCAGCCAGTCCCTGCTGAACCGGCTGAATTTCGATTAATTTTGAACAGCTTAACCTCTTGGCACTGGCCGCATGCAAATGGTGCGGCCTCCCGGATGTCTGGGCCTTGATGCCGAGCGGCCGTACATTTGCATGCAATTAAGAAAAACATATGTGCTGAGAGCGCGTGCGCCCTGTGCGCTCCCAGCACACATGTCCAGTACTCACGGAAAGGTCCTGATCTCCTCTTTCGATCGTGACCTTTCCCGATCAATGTGACCGCCATGACAGTGAATCATGGCAGTCACATGACCCTAAAACCCCACCCTGCCTCCTGGCTTCTGAAACCCTTAAAGGGCCGGGAGGTGTTGGCGCCAAGGGGTTAAATACGCCTAGTCCCGAAAATGCGTAAATAGTTTTCTTTTTTATCCCGTTACATGCTGAACCCTGGAGAACTTTTATTCAATAGTTTTCTTTTATTAAATAGTTTTCTTTTTATCCCCGTTACATGCTGAACTGATGGGTCCTGGAGAACTTTTATTCAATTGCTAGGAGTGGTGGCTGGCAACTAGGTATTTAAAAGCCATGTACTGTCAGTCGGGGGTGGGGCACGTTTTCTAATAGCGGCCCTACTGACAGATCTCCTGCTGCCTGTCTTTGATTTAGCAATACTTTATGTTAAGCTCAATGACACCTATTGTCACAGATGACATTGCCAGCTGCTACTGAGAGAGTTAACCATCAACATTTGGCTATGGATCCCCATGATTCACAGTTAGGCTCCTGGAACAGGTCACTCTATTCTCAGGTGCAGAGATATCTTGCCAAGCTGGAAGGATCCATGAATGTGCAGCCGCAGTGAACTCGGATAACCTAAAACCCTTCGACTTCACAAGTATTTTGTTAGGATTGATCGCCGTCTAAAAATAGCCGCATTAAAATGTAGATGGTGGCGACTCACAGCGAAGAAGAAATGAGGCTGAGCAGGGAAGAACAGAGGGACAGATTCATTCATTTTTGTGACACAGCCATACTACCGCACTCCGTCAACGTCCCCTTTAATCGTTAAGGCTGTGATGTGGCGGAGGCGATCTCGATGCGTTTCCGAGAATAAATATCTTCCCTTCGGACTGCCGACTCCGGATGTCCAATCAAAGCTAAGATTAAATCCGCAGCTAAATTATATGTGGATCAATTCATTATCCCAGCTATTAGTACTAGACCATTATACTTCCGAAGGAACGATGTGTGTGTTACGCGTTGTACTCATAAAACACTGGAGCTCATAAAGCGTATTAAAACCAAAAAAATGCAATATACTGCGGCTTACCAATCCTTAAAGTGACAATAAACAATATCTTTTGTCTCCAAAGATAATCTATACACATCCACTACCTAATGACCCTGCAATCTATTTTTCATTAACCTGTTTCGTACTGTGTTTTTTGACTTGTATTATCCTCTGTCAGCTCCCGAACCACTTTTTTGCCCTCTCACTTCTGTTTGTTTGGAATGAGCAGTGCACGCTAGTTGTACCCTGCTCTCTGCACACTATAAATCCTAGGGATGCACCAATACCCTTATTTTATTGGCGAGTACAAGTACCGATACTTTCGGTCAAGTACTTGTTGATTACCGACACTTTGCAGTAGGATTTGTGTCCATACAAAATGTGTGGACACAAATTGCACCGCAACAGGAATGCGATTCCTGTCCAAATTGCATGCGGTTTTCCCACTGCTCCTGTGTGAACCCAGGCTTGTCATATCCTGAGTTCACATAGGAGCGGTGCAGGGAGGTTTCCTGCAGTGGAGAATGGGATAGTGGGCCTGTGGGGATGTACATTGCGGAGGCAGATGGTCCATATTCTCAGTGGTAGGAGAGGAGAGAAAGCAGCAGGGATTTGAAATCCCCACAGCTTCCTCTCCTCTCCTTGCAGGGATGACAGCTCAGGCTAGAGGGCCTTCGATTGGTCAGCTTCCGTCATAAGGACGGTGCTGACCAATCAGATGCCGTCACAAGGACGGTGCTGACCAATCAGATGCCGTCACAAGGACGGTGCTGACCAATCAGATGCCGTCACAAGGACGGTGCTGACCAATCAGATGCCATCACAAGGACGGTGCTGACCAATCAGATGCCATCACAAGGACAGTGCTGACCAGTCAGATGCCGTCTGGCCCGTACTGTTATCCCTGCAAGGAGAGGAGAGAAAGCCGCTTTACAGGTCTGGGAATTTGAAATTCCCACCACTTTCTTTCCTCTCCTTGCAGCGATGATAGTACAAGCTAGACGGCATCTGATTGGTCAGCACCGTCCATGTGACGGTGTTGACCAATCAAAAGCCCTCTAGCCCGAACTGTCAACCCTGCAAGGAGAGCAGAGGAAGTGGTGGAGATTTCAAATCCCCAGACCTGTGAAATGGCTCACCTCCTCTCTCCTTGCAGGGATAACAGTACGGGTCAGAGGGCATCTGATTGGTCAGCACCATCCTTGTGAAGATACTGACCAATTGGAAGTCCTCTAGCCCAAACTGTCATCCCTGCAAGGAGAGAGAGAGAAAGTGGTGGAGATTTCAAATCCCCAGACCTGTGAAGTGACTTTCTCTCCTCTCCTACAACTGAGAATATGAACCCTGCTTCCATAGTATTCTACCCATGCACCCTCTCTCCGTTCAGCATGGGATGCCTGCAGGGAGGTTTTCAGCACCACTCCTGTGTG